CATGTTCTCAGAACTTCTGCTGTAGCACTTTTCCCAATCAGTGTGTTGATTCTCAATCTTGCTAAATTTTACCCAATCGTGGTCTGAACTGTTCAACAAGATTCAGGCTGGGGGTTATTACTACATCGGCTTATTTTTTAATTCATTTTTTATTTTGTTAATTCACAATGTCCCATATTCTTCTAATTAAATACATTTTTTTAATTTGCAATATAACTGGCCCTGCTGTTTTCTGCAATGAATTCATGATATTTGAACAATTTTAATTGTATATTTAAGGTAGGGGAAACAACTTCTGCTTTGTACTTCAAAAATGAATAGAAATGTAAAGTCTATGATCATTATATTATTATGCTTGTGCTTTCAATTTTTTTATTGTTAAATTATATCGATCTTGAAACCAATACCTAAAAATGTGAATATGGGCACTCATGTTGTGTTGTACCAGTGGTAATTTGGAAACTGGTCTTGTCAGGACACAGCAACGGTGTCCCTTCACCAATAAAAGGAGTACACGAGCAATACATTTTTGAGAATATAGTTAAAAATTAATAGAGAAAACACCTAACCCCATGGTTTTCAAACTCTGGTACGCATACCACAAGTGGTGCGCGAAGCGCCCCCAGGTGGTATGCCAGATGACCCTGTAAATTTGTTGTGTGCGCTGAAAACTTGGGACGGGTTTTCATATTTTCTATTTTATTAAAATTAGTTTGAGTCAAATACACAGCCTACATACTACAATACAGCGCGGTATTACTTTGTTTACCATTGGCAAAAGAGCTGACACGTATCATGTGTGGAGAAAAAGCTGCTAAACAGCTCGACCTGCTGCCCCCTTCAAAAGACACAGTCACTCATAAAATTACTGATATAGCAGATGATGTCAAAAGTACGCTGATAGAGCGCGTTAAGATGAGCAGATGCTTTTCACTGCAATTAGATGAATCTGTAGATGCCAAATCTGTGATTTGGCCAATTTGCTCGTTTACGTTAGATATGTGTTTGAGGGTATGTCCCATGAGGACTTTATGTTTTGTAAGCCGCTACCAACAAGGACTACAGGAGAGTACATATTTCAGCTTCTGAATGAATGTATCGAAGAGAATGGCATCGACTGGATAAAATGTGTCGGAGTTTGTACAGACGGTGCTAGAGTGATGACAAGCCGATACAGCGGTGTTGCACGAATTATAGAGGTTGCTCCAGAAATGAAGTGGACACACTGCAGCATCGACCGCAAGGCCTTGGCAGTCAAGAAAATGCCTGAGGATTTAAAATCTGTTAGACTCTGTTGTGAATTCTATCAAGGCTCGACCAATGAATTCGCATCTGCTTTGCTTGACTAAACAGGCTCTCCTCTCTCACTGAAATGGTGCTTTTTATTGTTTATTTTTAATTGCTGTTGTTCCTGTTGTTATTCTGTCAAGCGCTTTGAGAAGCCACCTTTAAAGGCACTATATCAAATAAAGTTTTATTATTATTATAAGATTTATTATATGTGTGTGAGTATGTGCGTGCATGCTCATGTTGGTCATTGACATTTTCTGTGGTTTCTATGAGAAGATGTAGGTGGTAATTGGATGCTTTGGTTTGATCAGGGGTGGTACTTGGTCCAAAAAGTTTGAGAACCACTTAACTAACCCAATGAACTAACATAGTAACTCCTCCCTAAATGTAAGACTGTTTATTAGTGTAAAGGCTGAAAAGGCTGGGGTCAACTGATCAAAAGATCACAATTGAATATCTATGGTTGTGACCTTGCTGTTTTTGTACGTCACAGAATGACGTCACAGTCAGAAAAAGAAGGAGCTATATTGAAATATATTGAAACATCCACCCTGCCCGACCAGACAGACTCAGAAAACAAATTCCCCCCATTGTTTTCATCACATTCAGGAGTTACGGTACTGAGTATGTTGGTACCTGCAAACTTCCTTGTAAATAATCATGTGATTATCTGAAAAAACAAGGCACTATATCTCGGAAACGAAAGCACAAATCGGCACAACCACAGCACTAACGAATGCGGTGGGTTTCGTCCTTTGTGCTGTTTGTAGGGGGGGGGCAATTTCACACAGCTCTGTCTCTGTTATGATAACATTGTTGGTAGTCTCACCTAATCGCAAGAAACAAGACTGAGTATGTGGGAGGAGATACTTTCCTCTCCAATTAAGACATGTCCCGTCCTAGTCTCGGAGGACACCTGATCTTTCTGCGGGTTTTCATTCTTTTTATTCATTAAAATGCTTCAGACACACATCCTAATTTAAAGGACACAAAGCAGCTCTCCCCCCATCTTGAAATGGTGGAGAAGAGACATTGTGGTGAAATCGAGTTGTTAAACATATAAAGCGATAAAATATTATTTTTAATGTAAGCTAACATAAAAGGGAAGCAGTGCTGACTGCAGCTGAATTCAATTCAATACTTTATTCCCAAGGCAGTGAGGATGATTGGAATTTGTCCCAGTGCAGCCCAGATAAAAAATAACAAAACACTTATACGTACATTAATCAATCAGTCTGTTCCACTTGTATTTATATTCACTACCATTTACTACTTGCAACATCCAATACATTCGGAGGTGCCTAAAGTCCTCTAGATAGGTGCTTTTACTGCATGTGACGCTTTGAAACTTGTTCCCTCAGGGGAGAAGTTTAAAAAAGGGGTTGTCGGGGTGGAAGGGGTCTGTGGACACCTTCTTCGGCAGCTGTCACAAACAGAGGCAACAGACGGAAGATTGCGTCCCTCTGTTGCCTCTGTTGATTTTGGATACTCTGCATACAATTCTTACCAACTCTTTCCTCTGCTGAACAGTTGTATTGCCGTACCACACTGTTAAGATAAGATCAGTTTATTGGCCATATACAATTTCTTGTATTAGGAATTTTTTTCGCATAACCCATCTTGCTCTCCATGAGACACACAAACAGGGAGAGATGCTTGGGATCAGAGTGCATGGTCAGCTACTTATATGGCGCCCCTGGAGCAGTTGGGCTGAAGGGCCTTGCTCAGGGGCCCAACAGGATATGAACCAGCAACCTTCAAGCCACAGGTGCAGATCCTTAGCCACAGAGCCACCACACTGCCTTATTGAGAAGGTGACCATCTACTGAAACAGTAACAACAAATAACACAATTAATAGGATTGGCTTTGAGAGACTGCATACTGTATGGCCTCAAATGTCTGCACCTTGTCCTCAGAACATAGGACAACTAATCACGTTATCTGTTTCATGTTCTATAGAGAAGCCTGAGTTAAAATAATGTAGTTATGAACCTTTTTAAAATCCTTAACGAAAGGATTATGTTTTGATTCATTATTTTGACTTTCAAGGTGGTGTTTGTTAATATTGAGGGAGATTCCCCATGAAAAGGGTTCAAATTAAAATAAATTCCACATCTTTCCAGAGGAGTGGAGGTTTCTTCACCAGTGTAGATCACTCTCAAACTCCTGTTTTCCCAACAGCCTGCATTCTTTGCTCCCTGTACTGAACTGCAATAAGGAGCTACACCAATGCTAACTCAATAGACTGGCCGCTTTCTATAGAAAAATAAAATCTTAGTGAATAAACTTTACAACAACTGCAAAACCGATTTTAGTAACTAACTGTTCATTGTAAAGGTTAAGAATGTAAACAATAATAAAAACAACATTTTCTATATTTTGGTATCACTCTCAGTGGAGATTGATTGTAACCTATTCATGATTACCTGAGGGTCCAGAAATAAGTGATTATACAAATTCAGAATAGACAAGCTCTAAGGGCATGTGTTCTTGAGTAGGAAGGACGGTCCTGGGTTGTTCATCTGGTCCAAAACATGTTGTACCACTTTTTCATCTCATGTGTGGTCTTTGTATGGTTTTGAAAAGCTAAAATGCTTGCAGAAGACTCATAAGACAGTAGTCTCCCACAGGGTTGTGTTAATTTAGCACTTCTTAATGTTGGAAGACCTTTGTCTGCTCTCCTCTTGACCTAAAGTCATGACCGACCTGGAAAAAATAAACTTGCATTGGAAGTCTGAGTTGAACATACAGTTGACCCAGCAAAACTGATGCCAGATGATCATCTCCTTCATGCTCTTCAGGTTTGCCTGTAAGAAGATGCCAGGGCAAGTCTGCCCACCACAGGACACACAAGGAAACTAAGGGGGATTACTGAGAGCAGCTGTCAAGGTCAATAGCTTCACTTCTCTCAAAAAGAAATAAATTCATTGTATTGCTATACAATATAATAATCTGTGCATTAATTACCTACCAGAAACCAAACAAGCAAGATGGACTAGATGATGGTCTAGTTTGGAAAATGTCTTCTATCTGTATTCTGGCTGTGTTATTCAGGCACCATTTATATTATTTTCCTTAGAAAGCTGTACAAGCTTGTAAGGAGAGAATTTCAGAAAAACCTATAATTGAAAACTGCTGAAGAAATGATATGTAAGTTCAATGATTTGTCATAGATTGCAGAAGGTTTTGAAATGTTTTATAGGAGAATGCAAAATGCAGGCAATGCTCTAATTTGCTGCTCCATGGTAGATTAATGGATTTCATCCTGCTAGATTTACTAAAAGATATACTATCTGAAATAATTATATAACCCTGTGTCACATGATGACAAGTGAGTCATGAGTATCAACAACTTAATAGCAGAAAGCTGAAAAAACATGTCCGACTGCTTTTACAGAGATGATAATATGTTGTCAACTATGTTGTTAAATGTACTTGCTCGCTCCATTTTAAAATAATTTGGATGTAAAGGATTATAGTAATGATGAAAATTGTCAAAACACCATTATTACATTTTCCATACCACCTGGGGACAAGAACAAGGCAGAGATGTATAATAATATTTCCGTAATCAATCATCAGGTCTTCAGGTCAATCCAATTTCAGCATGGGTGATTTAACATTTTCTCCAGTGTAAAGCAGACCATAGTACTCCATATACCAAAACATTTTAAAAGGTACAATCTTAGGACTACTGCAGCAGACAGACTCCACTTTTCATCACCCCAGCCCAATTTCAGCAGGAATATCTACGTCTTTTTTGAGTTATCAGAAACAATGCTGACAATATTTGAAGCATCAGTTTAATATAGTCTCATTAGCACATAATTGCAAAATTATGAAATGTGTCTACAGATCACATACTACTTTACATTGGTGTCCAAAACTCCAGTTTTATTAAATATTTTCCTCTAGACCTAGTGAATAGGTTTTCGGTTCAATACAAGCACTTGAAGAAAAGGAAGAACTTCACAATGTACAGTTAACAGATTTCAGTTTTATGTAAAATTACTATTTAAACTAACAGTAAGAACAATATTTAAACTTGGCAGTTCTTTGTCCCCTATATCAAACAAAGGTACAGGAAACAATGACATGATAATGCAGATGCAAACATTTATTTCAGTGATATGTTCAAGACGTACTGTTTGCTTACAAGAAGTGATGATGATTTCCAAATAAATATCACTGTTGAGAACAGATATGGGTCAGACTTTTACAGAAAATCAAGATCCCTCTTCATTTTCATGATCAGATCTACAGATGTTTAAAAAATACTGGTGGTGTAAAATTATTATTGACTATAAGCAAAGTACATTTGGAAAAAATACATAAAACAGCAAGGCAGGGTAAAAAAAAATGAACAAACTGATAGAACAAATATGTGAAAACTGAACGTACTCTCCCCCTCAGGGTGCCGTTTCAGATAACAGTGAAAAATATCTAATTAACAAAAGAAAATCAGGCTCCAATGGCAGGAATAACTGAGCAGAAATTCTGCATTGTACACGGACACATGGAGCAACTCTCTCATTCAGGAGACGTCTCTAAGGGGTTTTATGGCACAACCACTTGACAGACATTATTCATGAATCCTCACACACCCTACATCAATGCTTCCTGAAGGCACTGTTTGACAATAATTCATTGCACCACTCTACATTCTTGTTTTCTGCAGTGAGCAAACAGGTATTCACACATTAAAGACAACAGCCCTGCAGCAATGCACTGTGCTGTCAGCAACTCAGACCTACAAAGTGAGAGAGACTGGTAAACAGAAATATTTCTACTTCCTCCAAAAATGCTACTTTAAATACAGTATCAGTCTATTAACAGTTCTACTATATGTGTATGTTATTATGTCAATATAATGTTTTTGGCTTTTTCTAACAGATTTTTTCTATCAGATTATTGACATTTAGCATGTTAAGAATGGAATAAAGCATAAGGAGTGTGTCTTACAATTAGCTGCTACATTAAAACAAGTTAGATTATCCAGCTTAACTTGACATTTTCTATATTTTAACATCCTTACAACCGAATGGGGTAAATTCTACGTCTACATTGTAAAGGCATATTCTAAGAGCCCGCAGTATTTACTGTATGAACTATGACACAGAATAGTTACAGTCATGTTGTCATTCCGTCTTCTTAAAAAAGACCCAAAAATATGTAATGATGAGATCACCTTGAAGTCTTGTTTTTGGGATAGTTTTCATATCTATTGTTTTTATTGCTCTAAAAACCTAAACAAAGTTACTGAAAAATGTTTTGGAGCCGATTCTATAAGACTGTATTTGTTCCAATAATATCCAAGTCTCTAAACAAATCCCATGCAGAACAAAGTGATAATACTTCAGTTTTAAAAAATATCAAGTTATTATTTAATTTCACAACTGGCAGAACATCAAATAATAAAAAATAAAAAATGCTATTTTTTGCTCTTCCTTGATTTTTGGGACTTTGCAATGGATGCTTAAATTAATGTAAGTGAGCTGTTACATCTGCTGAATTATTTATTCCATTCTCAATGTGGTGTCAAGCTGAATGAAGTAAACAATGTTCAGAAATGCCTACAAAAGCATGTTTTTCAAGGCTAAAAGCAGAAAACTCTGGTCTGCAAAAACCAGGCAAAAGATACTGTATGATGGCAGCATCAAAAAGTAGCTTCTATGATAAGGATCCTGTTAAAAATTACAAAAGAAAATACTGCTTATACTACTCATTAATGTGTTCAAGCTGAAATTGAATGTTTCCGTTAGCAAATAACCTCTGTGGATACATGCTGTATCAGCAAGCTACAAAAAATAAAAGAAGTAATAATTTTCAGCCAAGATTTTTCAGTTTTTATTCTTTTTCTTTGTGGGGTCATGTATTAAGATGAAACCCACCAAAAATGTCACTCTATATTATTAAGAAATGTAAACATTTTTCTGCTGCTAAAATGAGGGGATACAAAGTAACAGTTTTAAAAGCTTTCATAGTTGTGTGATATTTTCACCTACAGTACCATCCTGTACTACAGGCAGGACTGAAAAAATAGATCCCTAAGGGTATTATAAGAACAAGTACAGTACTGTAAATGTATTCATGCTTGTCACCAAATATGGGATTCTGTTTTGAATAGCCTTAGGAAAACAGAGAAATCTGAAACTCCCAACTTGTATAACAGAAAGCATAAAATAAACTGGATGACTTTAAGTTTTTCTCATCCTTAGCTTTTCAAGTGAACCCGTAGAGGACCATACGAACAACAAAACTTCGAAACAGCAGGCCCTCGATGTACTGGTACTGTAAGAAGGTTTCTTTTTAAAAGAAATGAAACACAAAACAGGTTTCATTCACTTCCCCCCAAAAAAAAGAAAAGTCAAATTGGTGCCAATGGAAAACATCCTGTGGCCTAATGCTCACAATACTGTTAATGAAGGCCTAGCATGTTTCTTGGGTACCAGAGGCAGATCACATCTACAACTTAGCCAGAGGCATTTGCCTTTCATGCCAAGTGTAGCACATCCTTTAATTCCCACATACCAGCCAGTACCTTACATAAGGAGGCAGGATTTTGAAATTTTTAAGAGCTTCATTCACTACCATTTTCAGTCAAGAGGGCCATTCTCGGAACTAACTCAAGGCTCCATTAACAATTCCATGTAGACCAATAGCTACCCTCTTGGCAGTGAAATATACGGAATGTTCAGGTATTATTACAGTGAGAAGGACATAACAAAATTCCAATGTTGGTGGAATGACTCTTGTATCCACATCCTCAGATATGTTTATTTTTGTGTTTTTAACTCGCGTTGTGTTTCAAACATTTACGATTCGCTCTCCCCAGTCTGTATCTCCTGCGTGTTCATTTCAGCGGAAATGCCCCGGAGCTGGGCGACACTGGGCTACTTGAAAATGTAATTGATGAAGATTTGGATGAGGATGAGGAAGAAGATGATGACGTAATCCCGCTGCTGCAGGAAGCTGCTCTCGGACGGAGGCTGGCTAGCGAACGCTCGGCTGCGCAGGGCGGTGATACTCCTGAACAAGAAAAGAGAAGACAAATAATGAAACGAACAACTCCAGAAGACAACTTTAGAAACTGCCAACATTAACAACTGACAACCTTGAAGATTTGTGGAAAAAGGCTACCCCTAGCCCATGCTTCTAACATTACAATAGTGTTATCATACCTGTTGATTTCCTCTTGTGTTTGTTTAATGGAGTCAATGGCACTTTGAAGATCATTGAGGTCTGTTCCTTTTTTCCTTAACCGTGCGTTATGCTTGGTTTTATGTCCTGAAACAGAGGTGATTACTGCAGGTAAGACAAAATTACATTTGCCAAGCCTGGAAACAAGCAAACAGGATTTGATCCTGCCTTAGGAAGAGGTGCTGTCTTTAACTTGAGTGAGTTACTTACTTTCACTTCCCGACGAATCGTGTCGATCGGGTTCGGGAGATGAGCAGCCACTCTCTGCGCTTTTGGGCTGCTCGCTTTGCTTCCGTTTCCTTTTGGGAACAGTGACCTGTGACGCCAAGGTGGCCCAAATAGAAACACGTAATAAAAAAAGCCGCCACGTCTCTAAAAGCTGTGAAAAAGACACGCATGCGGACTGCAAGATGAGCTTTGCTGCAAAGCGTGAAGGCGTGCTCGCAAGTCAGTGGGGTGCTGTTGTGCACTGATCAAAAAACAGATGAAAAATGCTTCTGTAAAAAAAATAGACAAAGAAGCATATTTTCATGCCATTGAGCCAAAGTATGCTTATCTGCATACAAAAAAAACATTTACACAAAATTAAACATGAATTTGTGGATTAACACAGATAAAGAAGCTGCATGATTGCTCTGGTCATGAATTTGGCACAGCATGGGCAACAGAAAGACTGAAGCAAAGGCTCTTGCCAGTAAAATGTGCCAACCTACCTGACATTTGCAATTCTCCCTCCTTGCCCCTTGGTTACTGAGACTAATTACACTGCCTGAACGTACCATTGGTGTCCGGTGCCTGACTTTAGTCTGGATCCAGCCATCTTTCTCAAACTGAACCATATCATTCAGAGGGTCCCAAGGTCGCGTGCTGCAGGCACAACAACAAGTGATGAACACAATGCGACAGGACTACCATGAATACCATGAGCCTCAGCAAACTCCACGAATACTTAGTGCTTAGCTGTTCATTTTACTTTTCCATTCATGAATGTTTGCAACTGCGTAGAGCCGACAAGAGAAGGTCCAATCAGAAGAGTCCACAATGCATTGCCAGGCAGTGCCTTCATTTTTTTCACGTCAGCCAAACGAGTGTGGTGAAAAATGGGGCACAAGTGAAGCCCACATTTTGAAAATCAGCACATATACTGTATGTGGCCTGAGTTAGTAAACCACATTCTCACATATTTGATGATGTGACTTCTAGAATTACATTTATGTTAAACATAAAAAATCAAGTTGTACCTCAATAAAAACAGACATTTTTAACAGAAATTAACTATGTTACCGTCACTGAATTTGACTAAATAGAAGAAAGACATCAATAATGCAACAAATGTTACCTACCATATACACAGCTGTATAAGAATGTAATATATTATAGTAACACACATACTGCAGCTTGATACAATTTTCTGACATGTTTACAAAACAGCTTTTTGTCCAGTTAAAATCCACTAGATGTCGCTCTTAACACAGGCTGTAGTACACATAGTTGTAGCAGAATATGCACCCAATAAAATCCCATTCAAATGGAAAGTGATTTTTTCAGTTATCAGATGTATTTGATAATAAGCAGGACAGCATCACCCCCTGTAAATACGTGTAAAACACGTCTGATCGGAAGAAATGCTAAATGTAAATATTGTATACACAAGTTGTTGGGCGTAATATGTGTAGAGACAAAAATGTTAGGAAATTTAACAATGTATATAATTAGTTATTAAAGATTTAAGTTTTAGTATTAAGTTCTAAGCTAGAAGCCATACAGTTTATTACTAAGAGGTCAGGTGATGACAAGTTAGAATACTCCAAACAATGGCTCCTAACCACAGTCCTCAAACTCTGCAGTCCAGCAGATTTGTTGAATGATATCATGTATAAAGAAGTTTCACACACAGCAGGGGTTTAAACCTGTAAAATCAATATGGATTAATTTGAGCATTTTAACCCATCTTAACAGGACAGGCTGCTGCCCTAGCAAAACTGCTGGACTGTAGCCCCTGAGGTCCGGGGTTAGGAAACCCCCGCTGTTGTCATCTGTGAGGCATTCATTGTCAGTCTGTGCCTGGCGCCACGTACTCTGCATATCTGTAATGCCACTCTCCTGTTATGGGGTCTTGCTCAAAGAGAGAGGGGGTCCACTCCTCACACTTGGCCTTTCGCTCTCGAGCGGACTTTCTCTGGGCCTCCTCAAGGATGTACTTCTCATTGGTGGCCTCTGTCTGGTCTTTGTTGTTTATGGCGCGGGTCACATGTTGCCAAAGCCTAATCAAATGATGCAGGAAAAAAAAATAATAGAAGCCTTTTATGAACTGTTACTTCATAAGATAGAATGGGCACACAGGAAAGGGAAAGGCAGATGTCACGGGGTTTTAGGCCCATACCATGCCTGTAAACAGATGCAGGGTATTTCTTCAGATAGAAAAAAACACAAGCTATAGGTATAAGATGGGAAAAAAACATATGTAATTTCTATGTTGTATATTAATTTGGTGGTATATAAATATTCTTAACACTGTGCTTTTTGAGGATTTTTTTTGTCAGCCTGACTGATGCTTAGACCCTTGATCCATCTAGCTCAGGTTCATAAAAACATAAGGAAAGTTACAAATGAGAGGAGACCATTCGGCCATCAACCCTGTTTGATAGTCAGTAGTTAACTGATCTATTGATCTCAACCAGCTGTTTCTTGTAAGAACCCAGGGTATCGACTTCAACAACATAACTGGCTAGCTTGTTCCATGTGCCCTCAGCCCTTTGGGTAAAGACGTGCCTCATGTTCTCAGTTTTACGTGACCTTCAACACAGTTTCCACTTGTGTCCTTTGGTTCATGTTTTAATGTTTATTTTGAAGATATTTATTGGGCTGGGTGTGTTGACGATGATTTTGCATACCTGTATCAGGTTGTAATCGTCTCTGTTCAAGACTAAAATAGCTCTGTTCTTTCAGCCTGTCACTGTGGGACTCTCAAGTCCCAGAATGTATCTGGTTGCTCTTCTCCAGACTGATACCTGAGCAGCAATATTTTTTCCTCTGCACAAGTGATCCTTTTGATTTACTTGGCATTCAGGTATGAACATTTATGTGATTCCTGTATTTAGTGGATCCTAAGTACCAAATCCTCTGAATCTCAGCTGTGGCACTCAATTGAGCCACAGGGACTAAATGCACTTCACCAGTCAAGCTTTCCATTCTGGCACAATAATGACCCCTGCTGGACTGCTGCTGCCAGTACAGAGATGTCCTTTAGAGACGCACTTTGGTGCTAACTGCACCGTGAAGCACCAAGGGGCTTGCAGTTGTCAAGCTGACAGATGCCTCACTGCTCTGACAGGTGAGCATGTTGGAAGAGTGTGGCCCAGATTCTTCGCGTACTTATAAAATTATATAGAAACTTTATGGATTTTCTGTACACGGTCGGTACTGTCGGAAATGTTAGAATAGCCAGTATCATGAAGTCCATGTAAATGAAATCTGTAGAGTGAAACCTGCAGGGATGGTAAGCCTGGCAGAAGCACTGCTGTCAGTTCCCTCTCAGTGAAAGCACAAAAAAAAACGAGAGCTCTTACTTTTCTGACTCCCAGTCACCCTGCTCTTCTGGCGATACTGTGCATCTAATCAGCCTGTTCTGCCTCAGTTCAGGGGTGGGGTCCCAGAATGTTTCAGAGATGCCTGTCTTCTTGTCATTGATGAAGATTTCACTATCCTAAATTAACGACAGACATTGAAAATGTGTTTTCCCTTGTTTGTATCCAGCAGGTATAAAGCACATACAGTAGGAAGCAGATCCGCTACAGTACTATGCTAAAGCTACATGAGGAATGACAACTTACAATTTACAATGTGTAATTCCTAAAACAAACCAACCTGATCACAAAAATTCGCCACTAACATTTGGTATAACAAGGTTTCATAGTGGAAATTTTGTTTCAGATTCCTGGTTGCCTCAAAGAATTAATATTCCTTCCACAAATAGTAATGCAAATTACATGTTAGCTGCAAGCTGATTAATCTGTCCCCCCTCTGCCCTTAGCTTAAATTGAATGCATAAAGAAAAAGATTGATCACAGGCAGGACATGGTGATCTGATGGTCTAAAATAGCTGTACCACTGTCTGCTCATTGCTAAGCTTTACTGATTCTACTGATAGGAACTGATGAGAAGAATAATGCCAGCAAACATTATTTCATAAGCCAAAAACCCATTATAGAGGATATATTATAGAGACCATATATATTAAAACTTTGCTGACGTAGTCAAAAGAAATTTGTATTTATATTCTTTCGGAGGCACCTATAATCAAATGATGGCCCTTTCCAATTGTATGAATTTTTGCAAAATTACACTTTCCATAACCTTGGTCTCAATAGGATACAGAGGGTGCAGTCTTTCCTAATTCATACTGGATGAACGCTAGCATTTATTTGTTCTATAATTCATATAATTCAATGTTAAACCTACCCCTTGTGCTCATTTCCTCTCAGGATTCTGTAGGTTTTGAAAAGACCTATTCTCATTGTTTTTCTCAGCATACACAATAAATGTACTTACCCAGTGTCCGTCCAGTGTAGCCAGCACTTCTTTCCCAAGTTTTATTTTCCCAGATACTTGATTTACACTGTCACTGCTGCCTAAAAATGGCTTTAAAAATAATCCAGTTATTATCTTGGCAAATCAAACAGTACCAGCACAATCATCAAAAGTGGCATAAGGCACCGTGGAAATACTACAGTTTGTAATAATTTAAATTGTTACATGATCCTAGATAAAAAAAAACTGGATTCAGGTTTTTAGATGTGGCAAAATTTGTGTACAATTAAAATTTAGGCAATTTTTGTACAATTAGGCAATTTTACTGGATTTTCTGCACAAGTTGGAGATTTTAGAATGGTACTTGCCAGTTTCATGAAGTCCTGTAAAGTTCACATGAATTAAATCTGTGGGTTTACTAAAGGTTTTGCTCAAATGTAATTCACAGTTCACATCACGAGTCATCTTCTTACTTGTTTCATATTTGTCCTAGGTTCAAATATTTCATCTGGCCCCATTTAAATGTGTATTTGCAGCACTAGACTACTATGCCAGTACAAACAGCTCATTGCTGAGCATTGCAAGGAAGGTATAATGAGCACCACACCAGGCCTTTCTCCCCAGAGGAAGGCAATAAGACCTCTCAGACTGGGCAAGTCTCTTCTGCGGCTCTGTATTCTGAGGCTGCCAGCCACCGCTGCAGTATCACCTCAGCAAGACCAAAATATGAAGGAGGGAAAGCAGTCTAACTTATTCATGGTAGAATTCCCTTTGCAGCACAAATGTGTCAGATCTTCACCTATGTCTTCAAGCTTTAAACAGATTGAATAGCAGACTGGGGAAAAAACATTCTAGCTGAGCAAACTTCCAATTACCTTCAGCTTGAATTCAAGAACAGCACTGTATCCTGTTTTCTCACAGGTGATGTTTATTTGGCCTCCAAGCTCCAGGGTCATCGTACCATAAAGAATTCCTAGAAGGGAACTGTGCATTAAAAAGACTCTTCATATATTAATGGACATGAACACAACACAATGCAATCTTATAGAGAAAAAGCACAATACAATTCATTAGAGTGTGAAACAGAGTGAAACATTAGAGCAAAGGGGATTTTTTTTTAATTCCGGAGTCAGGATGTTAAAACCCTTTTAACAAAGTTAAAAGTTCCAACAGTTGAAATTCAGGTCAAACTTGAAATGAACAGCAGGAGGAAGAGGATAGATACTATACGCAACTAAGCAATACTGTAGCTATCTGAAAAAAGTGGAACAGATCTACCTTTGCAATGTGCATATGGCATATTCATTATGTAATCCTCTCCTCTGTTCAGGAAAGTGAGTCTGGCTTCTCCATCCAGTATGGCAGATAAGGAGTTACCTGCAACAGGAAATGAGAAGATAGCCTTATTAAGATGTAAGAGAAATATTTAAAACATGTACTGGAAGTGTACCTGGATTGCAGCAGCAGATCACAGTTTAAGTTAACATCACTCATGTATTACTGCATGTGAAATGTGTTAACAAATTACATGAATGTAAACATACATCTGTTCAGACTTAAAGGACTACAAAAATGAGAATTGGACAACAAGGGAGTAGTTAATCCACTTATTAGGTGGGTAAGCAATATTGCTATTTATCCAGTGTTTTTCCTACAGCTGTGATGTACATACACGGCATGTTTCTGAAATTCAACTGGCAAGACAAATAAAAAGTAAACAGGCCTAATAATTCAATTTGATAAATAAAGACATGCATCACCAGTACGTTAATGGAAATAACCAATTTTTAGTAAAGGACACAGTGGACCATTGTGAACTTATTACATTTTCAGAAATTGCACAAATAATTGCCATATAGCAAAATAAAAAATACTGACAGATAGGCATAACGATCTAAAGAGGATTTCTACGTATTTCAGAAAGCGATTGAAATTACAATGACTATTCACATCTTGGTGTGATTTGAAGGGAAGCGGGCAGAAGACTGCCATGTGTGCACACAAACACAGACGTGTTTCAAATGCACTCACCATAAAACTTTGACTTGGCCAGGATGCTGCCACTGAGGCAAAACCCATCTTTTCTGTTACTTACATAGAAGGCAGACACAGGAGGGTGATGGGATACCTGTGCAAAAGAACACATTGTGATCACAGACTTCAACACCGTCCCAGAATCATCACACAGCCTGGTCATCAAACAATTCTTCTTTCCTCCAGCTCCACTGGCATATGGTAACCACTGGTTACCAACTCCACTGGTAACCACATCACCTTTGGTCCCTTTCAATCATATACATGTAGTTTAGAATAAACTTACAAATGTCTCAAACACCCACAACTACACAATGAAACATTTCTTGGTGTACACCTTACCTGTTCACCAATATAGAATGTTTTGCTATTGGTTTTTGGATGAATCCATAGACATCTGTATGTTTCACCAATAATGGGATTATAAGGTTTCTTGAGGCCCTAGAAAAAAAAGGGAATAAAAAGGATATAAATCCAAAGATCTAGAAACAGAAAAAGCAGGTTACCCAATAAAAACATTATGGATAACGCACACAGCACATGTATCAATACTCTTTACTGGAAGCCCTTGAAAGCCCCCCATACAAATACAGCACACCTTCAGGGATTCATTAAAAATATGAAAAGTATCAACCACAACCACAAGAGTGAAGCATCTGCAGTTTATTAACAGCAAAAATATTAACAGCAGTTCTGATAATTCATCCATCCCTCATCAGTGAAACAAAATGTTCATTACCATCTGAAAAGCGAAAGGACTTCTTCTCTAAAGAAAGTCTCAAACATTTCAAAAATTGGTGAAAAGTACAGACATAATTATATTATATACATGCATTGGTAAAATGTCCTTGAATTTCACAGGATCTTTTAAGATAGTAACAGAAACAGAAACAGAGATTATATCATGTTTTTTGGGGTGAGAGTATACTACAAGGGCGCTCACCCTGCAGTACATGTGGGTCCTAATGCCCCACTATAGTGACGGGGACACTATACTGCAAACAGGTGCCGTCCTTCGGATGAGACGTAAAACCGAGGTCCTGACTCTCAGTGGCCATTAAAATCCCAGGGCGCTTCTCGAAAAGAGTAGGGGTGTTACCCTAGAATCCTGGCCAAATTTCCCATAGGCCCTTACCAATCATGGCCTATCTATGGCCAATATATGAATTGGCTTCATTACTCTGCTCTCCTCCCCACTGATAGCTGATGTGTGTTGAGTGTTCTGGTGCACTATGGCTGCCGTTGCATCATCCAGGTGGAGCTGCACATTGGTGGTGTTCCCCATTACATGTAAAGCGTTTTGAGTGGAGTGTCCAGAAAAGCGTAAGCAATTATAATTAAATTATTATTATTAAATAAAACAAACATAACAAGCATAACTATATCTATATCTATAGCATAACTAAATGATAAAATACATCCATCCATCCAATGTATCCAATGCCTCTGAGCTCATAAACTGTTCTCTGTATAAGCATATGAGGGCTTATTTTGTAAATCCACTGTTGTCTTTTATATCTTTGTGAATTATCAATATAATTTCAGTCTTGACTACATCCTCCTAATAGCATTGGAGCTGTAATGCACTAATGCTTTTAATTCTCAGACTGGTATCTGACTTGCTATTTACAATTTTTCCCTGTAAACATGAAACATCATTTTTCTATATTGCAGGTCCCCTGAATAAGGGGGTCTATTAAATGATAAAGAACAACACTAATAATTAGTAATTATTAACACTCTCAAACAAAAGCAATTCAGCGTGGCAACTAAAGGGATGTGATAAGAGAACGGGAGGAAATTCTACATTTAAAAAAATTACCTTTGGCTTTTTGTAAAATCCAGACAAATACCACTTCACAACTTTTTTCATTCGGTTGTATGCATTTTCTTCCACAGCAGCTCTACAAACAAAATCCATGACAAATCAGTTTTAATTATTGTATCACTGTTCTTGCTTGCATTTAGCTAAACTTTGTGAAACCCAATACACATTTTCATGAATATTGTGACATGGAATGGTTAGTTAACACAAAGCAAAAGTAATAAATCATTATAGGCGCTAGCCGCTTTTACGAAATGTTAAATATATTAACTATACCAGCTACCCCACTTTCTGTTCCTCAGAATTTCTGACACACAAAACCCACCCTGTATTCAGCTTCATTGGTATGATCCTTTCCATAGCTAACAACATAGGAAAAAGCTTTTTCTATATGCCAGTGCACATACTGCGCTTAATGGAGAAGTTATTTATAAGAGTGCGAAAAATGGAGAAGAGCAGCATTTTTGATACTGTAAAGATTCCTTCAAAACATCCCATATTCCATTTATAATTATGATTTTTCCATATGGTCTATTTATAATTTATGTTTCAATTAGAGCAATATAAAAGCAACTAGACAAAACTAAACTATCCTGAATTTCAAGTACATTCAGAACTAGATCTGAACAGACATTAATACAACTGATCATAACTTACTTTTTTATATATTGGGGAATACAACAGGTAAAAGACAACAGGCAACAACCATGAGTGGGGTTATCACTACTCAACTAAGCAGTAAGGAATAGCAAACATGTGAAGCCCTTCTATGTTTAGTTTTATTCTAATTAATGCCTTAAATACAGCAGGTTGTGTACGGTAAGGACTAAACAAATGTTTATGTTATTTATTAATCAAAGATCACAAAACACTCGGGGGATGCTGGTATCCTTGCTAATAAAAGCAATTATATTGTCAGCAGTAATTTCATGGTATCCTTACTCAGTGTGCACTCTCTGATCAAGAGAAAGAGAAACCTCTTTATCATCGTGAGCAGAAAATTGAAGAGAATCTAATAAGAGGTGATGTGACATTTCTGCCTAGGGTTCAAATATATCAATGAATCCTCCTTATTACAGACAACGGACAGTCTTAATTTGGTTATTTTCCAACATAATGCTATTGATTTAGTTTTTGAATGCAACTAATTTAGCTTTTGTGTTCATTAATACATCTGATATAATAATAAGCAAATACACTGGAATGTATTTTTCCAACTTTTCAGATAAAATTATTTTAGCCAATGCTGAAAAAGTTTGGAAAATCATTTTTTCTTATCCCTGGGAAGGCTGTTTCATACAAACCCTGTACCACCACATACTTGAACGTGATAAGGCAATTATTCGTATTTGTTTGCAAAAATTTAAAGTGCTTGTTTGAATGTTTGGTAAAGGAAGCTGAGTGAACAACAGTACGTTTATAAAATGACTACTGTATGTATTCAGGTGTGGTTTAGCCACAGACACCAGCTGAGTGTAGCCCACAGATCAGTTCGAATTCACTCAAAAGATCAAGTTTGGACCCAGTATATGCGGTAATGAGAGCACATTACTGGAATGTCCCCTTGACATTTCCATCTCTGCTGGTGGGACAAACAGCTGTGCAGCCATTGGCTTCCTGTCACTATTTATCTATTTATCTTTCAGGGAAATAAGGCATCTTAATTTATACACACATCTACGATTCTAAGTATCTCATGTTTGATAAGGCTAATAAAGAATCCCAGTTGCTTAGCTTTTCAAAACTTGAACTCAATAACTGGTGCTGCTAACACAGAAAGCAACAAGAAGTTTCTTTAGATTTTAACTGACGACAACAAGTGTCCCGGACGCAGAAGTCTGTTTTCTCAGAAGACTACAGACTGTATTTCTGCTATCCATTAGGGTACGGAACTACTCACTCAGAGAGGAAGTCTGCATGGTAGTAGTAATCGGAAAGCTTGTCCAGGAAGGAGCGAGGCTCCAGGATGAAGGTGGGCAGCACTACCTTGGATAGGTCCATGCCTGGACGAACCTGCTTGAGCAATGTCCATATCAGACTCTTGTTTTCCTCTGACACTGTCTCTGTCTGTGAAGCCTCTCCAGCCTGTGCACGATACAAAACCAGAAAACTATAGATGGAGAAGCAGCAATTGTGTATTGTACCCCACCAGCACAGAACATCATTTAATTTTCTGGAATCGGATTTTCTTTTACTGCTTTAGGTTCTATTGAGTTTCAGTTTCAGTTGTGGTGACTGATAAATAGTAGCAGCACTGCACTGAGTTTTGAATGATTTCTTTAGCTTAGTGACTATACTGTGTTTGTGTGCACTATACTTAGCGTGTTAACCTGCCATCCTCAATCAGAACCACAGACATTCACCATCTTTCCAGAAGAAAGTGAAAACCCATCTTTTCAGGATGTACTGTACCTATCTCCACATGTTTGTGACCAACCCTCCTTACTGACTATGCTCTTATGGTACTTCTTCCTGTCTGAAGCAAAACTGAAGCTTCTTAGCACCGTGTAACATCCAAGCACTTAATTAATGGTGTGCTTACTGTTTTATGCATTTTTATTATATTTTATGCTATTTGGGGCTATTTAAGCATCCTTTGCATTGTAATGAGGTGTGATTGTAAGTCGCTTTGGATAAAAGCGTCTGGGAAATAAATGCATGTAATTTAAATGTAATTGATGTTTCAAATAGTGAAATGTGGTTGATGAGTTGAGGTGCTGGTTAAATGTAAACTTCACCCAGCTGAGTGGGCCTCGACAAGTGCTAATTAAAAAGCATCCATTTTAATCAACCTGAATCCACCGTAAGCTCACTGAAGCCACATTAAGTCTGTAATGTACTCCATTTTTTACAGAACCATAAGATGTATGAAGTCACAAGTCTTTGAAACAGTTTTGATGTTCTGCACAGAATATAATACAATTTCACTGCTGAGCACTGTTGGATGACGAGACAGAAATGATTTAAGAATGGTCTTTCTTATACTGATGGCTTGACATTATTTTCTAAGATAACGTATTCCTCAAATTTTAAGACTAAAATCTTAATCCATTATTCCCCTTTTCCAGAAAGAAACAAGTGCAACCTTGAAAAATGTCTGATTTTCTGCACTGTAAATGAGTGAAAAATACCTCAGTTTAGCTTTCTTCTGTGTCAATTCAAAATTTACAACTTACTTAAATCACAATCGTGTTTTTATTCTAATAGATGAAGGTAATGCACAGTTCAATAGTTCAATCATGAAAGGAAACCGTTCTGATGAACATACTGTAATAATGCACAAAGCTGAGAGAAAAGGACCAATATTCTGGAATAGGAAGACATTCTTAGATCTTCATGCTTTCATCAATCAAGACTCCCAAAGTATTGAAATGAAAACACAAAGAAAAAAATAAAGCGGTAAGAGGGATTTGAGATAATATAATGGATTTAAACCTGACATTTTAATTAATCACTTGTCCATCTATTCTCCTGATTAATTGCACTATTAATTGGAAATGGTATGCAAACAGCAGTTTATATTCCCATATCTGATAAAAAATAAACAGATGATCTGACTGCTCATTATAACAGACCTTGGGAGGACACATTATTCAAATTTACTTCAGGATGAGAAGAAAATCAAATAAAAGTAAGTGCCAGTGGCATTCCTATTAATTAGCAATTAGACCATGTCTCAGTTTTTCCATTTCATACCCATTATTCACATTCTCACTCATTTGAGATTCCAACAACTATTTTTTGTGTCAGCAAATGGCAGAAAGTTTCTACCCCACAATTGTACAATGTACGTTCAAGGAGCTTTCTTCTTATTTCATGAAGACCTTACTATTCATGTGCATTACCAGATCCATCTCTTTTCTTTGCATTTCTCTTCATTATGGGTAGATTTCTATTCAGTTCTGCCTGGTCCCCACGTAAAAGGTGTCCAACAGGCCAGCAAGTCTACAGTATATCCTAATGCAGTTCATCTAAAGCCAGTAAGTGGGATCTAGACAGATCTTAAGTACAAATGTAGAGCAAACCCTCATACACATTCATACAATACTGCATCAAAAGATCCTATGTGTTACATTAGAGGTATTCAACCCTGGTGCTGGACAAACCCAGTCTTATAGCTTAAACATCCAATTTATTGAAGGTTAGGAAAATTTGAAATAACTGATTAAGGAAGAAGCTTCTTCAATTAAGCAAAGTCTGGTCCTTGAGAGCTAAAACGTATTCTGATGTTATTTCAGAATGATCTCTAAAATGACTATACCTAATTATATTATTACTGATTTGACTTAGCGGATGCACTTATCCAGGGTTAGTTATGTATAAGGTGTCTAAAGAGATCACAGTTAAACTGTTCCAAGGTTGTCAAAACGCATTTTATGGTTACCTATAAAATATGCTATATAGTAGTTCTCTAGGACCAGGGTTGGAGACCCCTGCTTCACACACTTTTTCTAATACTGTACATAATCCATTGATCCCATCATAAAACACTTAAATATACTGTTTGGGTTTCCCCTGTTTCAAAGCATTTTCAGTCGTTTTAATGCTGAGAAACAATAGTAATACTGTTTATGATGCTTCAAGATGAATTAATCAGCAAATACACCTGTCAACCACTGAAGCACAGTGAACAGAAGCCTCTTTTAGCTATAATGTCTGTTTGCTCAGCTTAAAGCCTGCACTGGACAAATGCCTTAGTAATATGAGCACAAGGGTTACAGATTCTCCTTCATTTCAAGAGGAAATTTTAAATAAAGTACAGTAGACATATTCCTTTGTTTAAAAACTTTTTTTGTTTTGTAATTTTTGTATCATCTTATTCAAAGCAAATGACTCATTTATGTATTAAAATAACACCATTTTCATTTAAATCTGCATTTCATCTCACCTATAAGGTTCTGCATGGCTTGGCACCCCAGTACCTGTCTGAACTATTATCGCCCTACTCCCCACCTCGCAACCTTCGCTCTTCTAATTCTGGTCTCCTTACTGTCCCCAAGCCGGTCTACATTGTATGGGTGACAGGGCCTTCTCCTGTTATGCCCCCAAGCTCTGGAACTCTGTGCCCAAGGATATCAGAGAGTCACCTTCTCTAAACTCCTTCAAATCCAGACTCAAAACCCTCTTCTTCAGAAAAGCCTTTACTTAACTGGTCCATTCTTCACACCTCTGCTCTTCTTATTACCACCATCCACGGTCTCCTCTATATATTGTAATTGTGTTTTATTTTGTGTATTCTTCTTATTTATTGTTGTATTCTTCTTATTTATTGTTATTGTCATCCTGTAAAGTGCTTTGAGAAGCCACCTTTAGCGCTACATAAACACATCTTCCAACCTCACTACACCCAGTACACTAGTATTTTCAACATAATGGCAGCTTTAAAGCATTTGTATTCATACCCTACGCATGCCCTGTATCCCTGATGTTCTGAGATTAATTAATCAGACCAGAATTACGCAGTAGGCTTTCTAAATTAAATGAGGGCAGTTAAGGAAAACCAAATGATATATTTGGATGCAATTGCATAGGCTTCTAAGAACTTGAACTCCTTCTTTTGCAAATAAAGACACCTTTGGAAAGATTAAGGTGTGGTCTGAAATACATCTCACCCTCTAAATTTGTTTAATTATAGAGATTAGGATCAGGTGATATTTTAATTAATGCTGTAGCACTCTCATGATGTAAGATAGGCAGGTACTGTACATACTCCATATAAATGATACACTTAGGGATGAAATGACCACCCCCTTGGTTATCTAGGATAATAAAGATCCACATTATCGTAGCTTTTGGATATTACACCACTATTACAATAATAAATGTGTGTGGCAAGGGACCTGTGCAGACTCATCTTGGTCAGGCCCAAATCTCCTGGTGTGTGGCCTGTCTCACCTCTCCCAGCTCCTCGTGGGACTGCTCCACATAGGTAGTCTCTCTCAACATGTCATTCGGCTCCAAATCCACGTACGAGTCGTCCTGCCTCTCAGAGGTGTCAGAGTCGCTCTCTTCACTCTTCTCCAGCCCGTCGTTGTCTGACTCCTCGTGGTCCTGTTCGTTCTCCCGGTCCGACTTGTCAGAGTAGAGGTCGCTGTCCTTGAAGTGGTGCCGTTCAATTTCGCTGTCATTGAACCTGTGGCACATATAAAGAGGGAAAATGTCTCAGATATGATTCTTTAATTTTCAGAGTGAGTTTATATCAGTAGAAAGTGTGATTCTCACAAATCAGATTAAAACTGACTGAATCAGATTCACTGACTTGGTATAATTAAATTCTAACATAGTAAAAAATTTGAATTTCAAGCTATCACAACTATAAGGCAGAATTTTGATAATACTGTTACTGCCTTGGTCTTAAGGGAGTTCAACAGTCGTAAACACTAAATCAAACATGAGCTTCTATTATATGTAATATTTAAAAACACAAAAGATATTAGTATACTAAAAAAGGTATACAGTACATGAATAAATACTCAGCACCATAAATTGTACTTTGAAAGTACAGTCTCTTTGTCAAGTACACCGGCACATTCATCTGTTGAAGTACTAAAATATTGCGTTCAGTATTTGCACACTGTATGTGAAAATTTTCAAGCATCATACAGTATATTACAGAATGAGCTTTTTATAATGTCTCATACATAGTATACACACGCAGGAGGCATATATGGTTCCTCAATATATAGTTATAATTCTAATACAAAGGAATTAATAGAATGTGCTGAAGTTATTCCGCAGTTTTCTAGTTAGAGAAGAGTCATTTAGGAAATTAATAACATCTGAGACTTTTGCCTCAGATGCTAAAACAAACAAAATAATAAAAAGTAAAAAAAAAAAACAAGGATTTTTACTTTACAAGGAAATACAATCAAGAAAAAATATACACAGTAGCATATTTGAGCTATTTTCTGGCAAATGGAGTAGAACAGGTTTTGCACACTACTGTGAAAGGATGAACTGAAGATGTGTTTTCTTCAATTACATGATCACACACTGAATGCATACGGAATGGCATGACTACAGGCGACAAGGGCGAGCTCTCTCACGTGAAGTTCTCGGTGCCAGGCAGGTTGTTGGCCCGCAGCAGGCTGTACAAGTTGACCTGGGAGTGCTCTCCGGTGGACCCCAGCTCGTGCTCTTTCCCCTCCCTGATCATAGTGCGCTTCAGCAGGCTGGAGCACTTCAGTGCCAGCTCCAGGGCATCCATCCAGCACCGCCCTGCGCGCACAGCACAGCAGATCAGACAGCCAGCCCCTCGCCGACGTGCACAGTCAGGACCGAGCGGACACCCTGTCGCCGAACTCCAACAGAGATTTCAACCGGTGTAACAACTTTAATGGTTATTATTACAGCTTATCTTGGGTATTGTGCACTCCTTAATTTACATTGATCTGAATGTTCAAAAACATGACCACAACAAACGCAAGGTTAACTATGGATAAACAACCAATGTAAAGTACTACATTCAAACTACTGTATAGCCAAACTGGTTGTAAATACATACCTTATTTAATCAATAAGGTAATGAATTTAATGTGGAAGGACAAAAAATGAAATTCCAGGATGATGTAACACTACCTAGGCTGTGGATGAAGTCACGCAACCGTGAGGTCTAGATGTCCCAGACCAGTTTTCACTGCCACCATGATTTGCTCTTTGACATCCTTACCATCAGATTCAGAAGCAGCCCGGAAAATGAGGTGACTGCTGGGTAAAGGCTGAGTAATGGAGCCCACAGCTTCTCCTTTGGGGCCCTAAAATGAAAGTTTATCTTTCAGACTAAACAAAAAGAGACTATTTCATTGTAAATTCTGGCTGTACAGTTTCTAAGCTTCTAGTAAGTAAGATTGCTGTCTAATTTCCTACAGCATTTCTTACAGCATTTATTTGCAACATACTTACTGTGTATGAATACATTTGAATATTGCATATTTAGAAAAATGTGCTGATATTTGTGCTGATCTGTTTTTCATTCGCCATTCATTCATACAACAAATGCTGTGGACACACTTAAATTATGTTTTTGCTATAACCAACTTTTGGTTATATCGTATCAAAGACATTAACTGATTTAGAGTAAACTGTGCATAATCTTTAAGATGATACTTTTCAGCAACCCTCCATCTTTCTCCCATTACGTGCAAAACAAATTTTCAGGACTGTCCCTGCTTGACTGAAAAATGCAGCTGAACAGAACGACTTGGAAGGGTGAATAGGCCTCAGGCTGCATCATACTGCCTGATTTTCGCTGAGCGAATGTGAGGCAAAGATCAAGGCCAGGTGTTTAGCTGAGTGAGACAGTGGTGGGAATTGGGCTCACCTTGACAGCCCAGATTGACTGCTCCAGTGGGTGGAAGAGCTTGAAACAGAAGCCGTCCTTCTTGGATGGCCGCTCAATGAGTTCGCAGGCATTGAGCAGCACTGTCCCCACCCACTGGCCATTTTTCGGGGTCTTGTAGATCAGCAGGACCCCTGGCTTCAACACACACCACAGCTTTGTCCAGCTCTTCAGTGTCCCCCGAATCTGCAACAGAGCAAAGATTTCAAGCTTTTCTTATTTGGTTAAAACAAACACCATTTAGTCATTCCTATGTACTGGGGCCGCCTGTACACCATTTAAAATTTGACCCACTGATGAAGAAAGCTAGATGAAAAATAACTGTCGTCCCATCTTATTATCCAATCTCTTGTCACCCATTTTGGCTTTTTTGCAGTTTACAGTATGTACCAGCATCCTGGTGCTGATGCTTAAAGGAGGGTTCCAGAAAAAGGACTAGTTTCTAGATGCCTCAAAATGTAGAACAAAACTCTTTTTTCTGTCCCATGAAAGACCACCCCACAGATTTTAAAGCTGGACATCAAATACACATGGGATAAGCAATTACATTCCACATCTCAATGTCTGATACATCAGTACGCATTATTGCTGTATTACCTAACCGCACTCAGCATTTTTATAATCTTTTCTCATTAAGGACTACCTGACTCTATCTGATCTGACACAAATTCAAAATGGCAAAGGACTGACAAAATCCTCATTCTTTTTACTGCTCCATGCTCTAAACTGGTTAGAGAAAGCAACTTTTCTGAGATAATAGAACGCAGAAAGGTATTAAGATAATTAAATTATGCTAGTTTTCATGTTTCCCCTTTGCTGACAAACACTTAAATACACTCCGGGTGAAGTAATTGAAAGCAGATGAGCGTAACGTATGTAGTTTTTCTCCTACTACAGGGGGAGACTAGAAAAAGAACTTTAATGCATGGTAACGTAATACTCCAATTTTCCATGCCAGATTTACACACTCCAACTTACTTCATACAATAAATGGTTTGGCTCCTTGTCTCCTTTTGTGTTACAAAGGTTTAAGGAGGACATTAATGTTTATTAAGAGCAGGTTTGTTTGCAGTTTTATATTAATGTAGCATTCTGACCTTCAACCAGTCTGCCATGACAATAACTGAAGGATCTGTAATTGTGCTGAGTAACTCTTTAGTAGCTCTCTTCTTTTCTTCCCTGTAGTTCTTCTTCTGGACCTACAACAAACACAAACAAGAGATCAGAGCAACACGTACACTGTTGTGCAAAAGCCTTTGACAACTGAGATTCACAGACACAAACAGGACGCTAGAAGACCATCATTAATCTACTGAGAACCTAGTGTGGCCATTTTGAATGTTGCTGGTACAGCTTAGTTTGGATGAGAAGTAAGCATTTACAGTAGCACTGTTTAATCCACATTGACCAGAGCCTTGGGATTCTGAATTGCAACTGAATCAAAATTTAGGATTGTATGTTAAGCGGGAAATATGAAGTACCCAACCCTACGTTATGCATTGCAAAATACAGGTCTATCTTACAAAAGAATGACTGAAATATAAATTTACCACAGAATTGTGCTTCAGCAAAATGAATGATAAACATTAACTGAAATGAGTAGAACAATGCAAAGTGTCTCAAACCTTTGCACATGCGATGTATACAGAATAGAAGACACAATTATTCATCTTAAACAATACAGTATCTAATTGTAATTCATTCTCCTTCAACAGCTGTGCACTTTGAGGTGATGTATTTTTTCTGCATCAAAACATATAATACAGCTAAGGATATAAATGTTTTGATTGTAAGGGAGGACTGGTTAGCTGTATACGATACATTACAGGTACAGTGTAAATGAGACACTTTAAAATACATTTTTGTGAATGACTACTTTGCATCACTATTATGTGATAAATGGTTCCCTTTCTTATTTATTTATACAGATCGTGAAAACACTAAACCTCCCAAAATATTTTAAAAGGCTGATAAAGACAACTGTAGAAACAATGTTGTTTTTAACAAAGCCAAAATAATCGTGAAATAATTTATTCTTAAATGTAGCTTTACACATATAATAAATGTTTTTTAATAGCTAGAAGGAAGATATTTAAAGGTGCAGAGAAGTAATGACAGAAGTCAATTTAAAATCTCTGCTCCACGTCCTAACCCTCAAATATTATAGAAAATTACTGTGATCTGTAACTATAGGCTGAATTATTGGATTTGGCAGGCAAATCATCCATTTCTAGACTGCTTGTGCTTTAATCCATCATCAATTGGCCCTGAAAACGTAAAACTCAGTGAAAATGTCATGGATGCAGCAAAATAACCATGTAGTGAAAGAACACTATGCCATCCAAAGAAGCTAAGTTTGGTGTACAATGTAGCTTTTAAGTAAACCTCAAATAATTAATTCCTGAATTTGGTTCATCCTTCCTTCGAAATACCCATTAAGTCTTTTTTTCATCGTTGTTGCAATGTAACTACTAACACTGAGAAAATGTCTTCATTAAAAACAAAACACGAAGAACGTAAACCATGTTTTAAATGTCCTTGCCTTGAGAGATTCCTTTTTCGTAAGCTTGCTCCCAGAAGAGGAGACATCCTTGTCAGAGCCATTGTAAAGCTTTGATTCCGACTGCAAAGAAACAATTAACCACCAGTTCAGCTCTGCACAGTGAAAATATATTTTGCCATGTTTTTAAAGTACTATTCATTTTAAAATACGTTAGGTATTGTCTAAACGTACTGTATGTTCAGTTTGTGTGTATGAATAAGTAAAGTGGCAGGGATAATCAGAGACAAGAACTAATGCAAGTTTAATCTGAAGCAGAAAACAGTTAACAGTAACACTGGCTACTTTTATATTGGATCAACTTTGAGACTTTCAGAGAAAATTTTTCCTTCATAGCTCTATAGGCTCTTTAGCTTAGAAAATCTATGCATATAACCTTGGTACATTATACCCAGTGTGATAGCATAATGATTCTTAAATTCACACTATTAATAGGAAAGTAAAGAGTTCTATGTTCATTTTAAAGGTAGCATCCCAAATGTTAGGCTCTAGAACACAGAAAAGTAGAGAACAAGAGATTAAGAGGAGTGTATCCAGACATCTTTGTTGATTAGGCTAACAAGATATATTATTAACACTGCTCACTGTAAAATGCATTTTATACTTAATTAACAGATGACAGCTTCCATTTTCCCCATTTTGATTATATCCATTGTCAAGGTTATGAAGTGACAAAGACAGCATTTTATGAAGACTTTTATGAAGACGTCTAACAAAAAGACTGCCATTTGCTCTTTTACAGTATATGAACTCCCAGTCTACAGCCTATGGAACTGTAAGGCAAAAATATGGTCATGAACCAGCTGTATTTTCTATAAAATAATCATATAAAACTGTTGTTTAAAATAAAATGCTATTTAAATAATTTCTTAAATATTTTTTAACTTTAGATAAAAAAATGTTAATGTAACACTAATTATTTTCAGACAAAATATATCATATCTTCACAAAAAAACAGTGTTTAAAAATGCTAGTGAAGTGGCAGCAAGAACATGAAAATTAACATAAAATTATAAATATTTAACCTTAATATGTCACTTTATAAAATAGAGAATAGCGAAAAGGCTTTTAAGTTACATGCTCTTACTGCTTCAAGTGATTACATTAGAATTTGAAGTTGCTGAAGAAGTGGCCCAATATTTTTAGTGTCTATTATTTTAAAGTGTCTCTTCTGAAACTGGGCTGATACATTTTTAAAAATTGTATTCTTTTACAATGATGAGAATGTTTGTGATAAATTCTTAAACTTCTCACATGAAGCCATTGAACACTTTAACATTATAGCCATTAGCAATTAACACCATATTCCATGCAAGTTAAACACGTTTACACATTTTTATTTCTAGTACAAACATTGATTATTATTTTGTATTAACATTTTTATCCAGCTAGGAAATACATTTACATCTCAACATCTAAAAAGCACTGTCATATCTACTGTTCTCCTTAGCGTAGTTCAGGTAGTTAGTGTGATTCTAAAATAATGTTACTTCAGAGGAAGCATTTATGGTGTCTGGTGATTGATCAATCAATTGGCAATGTTTTCACTGAAATTCTGTGAATCAATTAGTCAATCCATCCATCCTTCCAGTTCAGAGCTGAGGAGGAGCCGAAGCCTAATCCTGGCAAGCAATGTGCATAAAGCAGGATACACCCTGGATGGGGTGCTAGTCCATCGCAGGACATACACAGCTACACAGACACACACACTCACACCAGGGTCAATTTTCCCAGAAGCCAATTAACCTACAGTACCAGTATGTCTTTGGACTACAGGAGGAAACCAGAGCACACAAACACAGGGAGAACATACAAACATAATTTGTGTAATGTACTGTAGATTAGTACTGCCTGCTGAAGTAGTACTGGTATAACAAGGTATTGTATGGCATTTGATTGCATTACATTTACTGATTTATGTAGGGTAGACACAGGGACATTTTGTAAGGATTAAAAATGAGTGGGATGGGAATCTAAGGTTAGAACTCAGGGTGGGATTTCAATTGAAACACAGTAAATGTTTCAAAGTGAGGAACTGTTGCAGGGCAAGTTAACTCTGGAGAAACAGACTAAGTGAAATGCCAGCACAGACTCTGGATTGCAGATGAAACATGCAGGTAAATAAATGACAATAATTAATTAATTAAATAAATAATTAAATAAAAAAAGCTCGGTATGGGCAAGAGATACAGTATTGTTTATGACTGTTCCTCAGTTTAAATCCTAGCTGAATTCCCCAGTAAAATTTTCCAGTTTTAAATAATTTTAGTTGAAAAAAGTGCCTAAGGCTTTAATATAAAGTAAAATGCCTAAAGCTTGAATTTGTTTTTAAAATGGAAAAGACAGATGTACAGTATGTACTTTTTAAGTTTTAGCTTATATAGTGTTTTGCAGACTTTGCAGGTTAAAATACGAAAGTGGGTATGCTCAATTGACAATACTTCCTAAAATAAACTATAGTCATACCATGAATATTAAACATAAAATGTTTTTTTCCCTTTAAAAAAGAAACTGATGACGTTCTGAAAAAAAAAACATTCTTTAGTCTTCAGAACAATGATCCAATAAAATTGCTAAAACTGTAAATGCTTTTTGCAGTGTCCACAAAGATAGTTGTCTTATATTTGCAAAGCCTGTGTCCTCCAAAACTGTGCTAGGATAAAAAAGCTACTTCAGAAATTGTATACAAGGATACAGCTACAGTAGATGTCAGTCATATCAATAAAAAGATTTCCAGAATAATCAATTTCAGTGCTTCCAACTGAGGTGGCAATGGGGTGTGATAATCAGACACTCACCTGGTCATACACTGAGCAGGACGACAACGTTTGTCCTTACGTATAATATTGTCTTTCAGATTATTTTTTTCTACAGTGACTGTGTTTCAATCCGAAGGCCTGGTGTAATACTATACAAAATTTCATATTACTGTCCTTTCTGATTAACGACTAGCTGTTTCTGCTCCATCCCACCCTTCATTCTGCTGTATATCTGTCTATTGCTTATAGTTTATAGTATGTGATATCATTTCACTTGATGCCTTGGAATTGATGGCTTTAATGAAAAATTACAAATTAAAGTTTTTATGACTGTTGTAATTCACTGAATGAATTGCACATAATTGAAAGGCAAAGGTAACAAATCTTACTAGATTAATTAACAAGGAAATAGGAACTAAGATCACACAGCAGAACTTCCTCCTTGGGAAGCAGTACATAAATCCTAGAAAATGGTAGTGCAGGTGTGACTCAATAGAATTTACGAATGTACTGTACAACAAATGTGCTGTTTCACGTTTATTTTATAAAATGTGTCCCAAAGCACTACAATTTAAAAATAAATACAAATTATGCAATTCATACCTTGCTTTTAGACATGGAATGAGTGGAGTCTTCTTTGAGCTGTAAGACATCGTCTTTTCCCCTGTCAAAACCTGCAAAAAGCAAACATACAGAGCTGTGAGGCAACGGTGAATCTCATGGGCTGCATGTATAAAAAGGGCACATTGTGACCTGACAACTGATCACAAGGGGAAACTCCACAGTGTTTTCCACATAAGTGTGAAAAATACAATATTTGTTAATTTCGTAGAGATGAAGATGAAAAACAATCAAATTGTTACTGCAATACTCGTATATGAAGAAAAATGTATGAACTTTATTATCTTAAAAATATTATGAATCAAATAATTAGATTTTAATGCAATGCAATCTTGTTTTAACCATGATGTATTTGCTGTGTCATGAAAACCACAATTTTAACTTCAATTTTCTTTGACGCAGCTGAAGTTAATACCTTACATTCTAATTTGAAATGCATTTTGTCCTTTCAGACAAATGTCAGATGCGTTTTCATGGTTATAGACATTAACTTAAAGCTCAGTTCTTGTTTTTCAGAGACTACACCACAGACCAAGGCACTTGACAAAACAAAGGCATCCTTGGAATTCAATGCTGCTCACATAAACCTGTTTTATGAAATGTGACCAAAAAATAGTTTCTAGCTAATCAAGACTCCTAAAATACATTTGGCTTGCATCAAACTCCTTCAGTCTCATCTCTTGAGATTCCCAGTCTCCCAGTTATTTTCCATCTCCCGAGCTCTGCATCAAAGTTCATCAGTGTTACCTGCTCCCCATTTGTAAAGTCAAGGAAATGACAGTGAACCCCACAAACTGCTGAATCTGAAGCTTAGCAAAGACTCTCTAGAGCTTTATGTCTTGTGAACTCAGAGGGTACTCAGTAACTACTAAGAACCTAAACTGGCAGCTGGCTCCACCTGTCTTTAATAATAATATATTTCTATAAAATATACACTGATAAAGGATGCACACATGAGCAACACTGTATCCTGTACTGAAAAGACCTCATGGATCCAGAATACTGCTTCAGCACATCATCATACTGAACAGACACAGAGGCCTAAGGGTTAAGGAAGACACAGAGTTAAGGTTGACCATAACTCTTCCGATTCAGCCTCTCTAACAGCAGGACATGTTGCAGAGAACTAAGAAACACCAAAGCCACAGCAGATCTGCAGACTGTGAATTCTGAACAACAACAAAAATTGGTCATAGATTAGATGTTTGTTTTCCACCCCACCAACCACCCTAAAGCTGAGAAGTGCCATATCCTTGGCAAACAGTCCAGCAAGGACTCCTGTAATAATAAGATCTCAACATGCATAGCAAAGATGGTTGACAAGAGACATGATAGCATAAACTCTCTTGAAAAGAAACAATACCTTAATAATACTTGCAGTTCCATTAGCGAAGAAGAACTGCAACTTGACATCTCAATGAGGCTAAAATAGGAGTGAATTTAATTAACTGCTTTTTCTTTTCTGTGACTATATATGACCTGGTCTTCAATAACTAATGAAAAGCTATAAATAACAGTGAAGGAACAGATGCGATTTACCTTACATATTTTTCAGAAATTCAGATCACCAGGGGGAGAAAAACTTCATGAAAACACTGCTTCTTGATACAGTATGCGCGTTTCAATGTTCAAATCTTCTTTTAAACAAATAACTTGATAATGAATCTGGCACTGGGCACAAAAGCTTCGAAAATTACCCTGTAAACATCCCAATGAATTGTAACATTCAATAAAACTTTAAAGCAGTATTATATAACAATAAACTGAAAACAGCCTACAGTCCACAGATGACAGTTATCCTTCAGCTCAATGTGGGTACATGATTTATTGCCCTGTTTCTTGGAACTCATTAATAAGAAACATCATACCCTCTGGGGCATCATCAATAAATTTCAACTTCAATCCCCAAATGCCTTGCAAAACAGGATATTAAAACTCTCCGCATTGTCTAGCAGCCTGTCTCAGACATCTCGCTTTACGTTTTCACCTCAGTGGAGCAGTCTTTGATAGATCGAAGACGCGACCTTCAGAACCCAGGTTTCCTGAGTATTTTAAGATCATCAAAGTTTCCCTGACTCATTTCCATTTGTCTCTCCTGGCACGGATTTGTGAAGGGCTAACGGAAAGGTCACCAGCTCCCACTGTCATTATTTCAGAACAGAGGGCAGTGTGTCCCACCCAATTCAACTGCAACAATTCCATTACAAAATAAATATATTTTTAAAGGGCCTCTTAAACTCATTAATAAGACCCTAATGTTCAATTAAGATTGAAAACAAGAGATATTATATATTATATATATTTACTTGCCAGTCTTCATGTAATCTATTCCTACCGTTTAACATTTTATAATTTTACATATTTAGACATACTGTATTACCCTAACCTAGTCCTCACGAAATCCAAACAGTAGCTAAAACTAACCTCATCTGAGAAATAACACAAAAATTATATATCATTATATAATTATATATAAATCATATATAAATATGTCATTATATATATAAAAAAATCAACTAGCATTCAATATCAAACCGGTGCTTTTCACATACCTCACATATAATGGGTTAAAAAAGAGTGAAAAGTAAGTATAGCAAACTGACCAATTTTTCAAATAAAAAAACAAACAAAAAAAAATCTCTTTGCTGCTTCTTCCAAGAAAAGCACCACTATGGAGATGGACAGCGGTGGCTACTAGCGAACTAAAATAACTGAAGAAACAGAATGACTTGAAAATGTAAAAATGTGTTATTAACTTGACGTTCACCACACATAATATATTTAGAACCACATTTACTAAACAACATTGAATAAAAGGTTTTTGAACCAAAAAAAAAAATCAGAGTAACTCTTCCATGCACAGCTCGAGTCAGAAAGGCAGAAGGAACCGGCTGGGCTGTAAGAAGACGGCTCTCTCTTCGGCTGCTGTCCATCTTCAGCCCTGCAGGACTTCTCTTTAAGCAGCCACACCGACTAATTGGCTGCATCTCCTCTCCCCTGCAGGAGCCTCTTCCCTCCACTGAGTCATGTCACTCCCATGGCTATACTAATTAACACTAAGCGAAAAAGTGTGTGATCTGTTTTCATTCTTTTTAGAGTGAGGTACGGTAGTTTGTTAACCGTTCGAAATTGTAACTTGAAGTTTTCACTGGCTTGCAAAGGAAACAAATTTCCCCCGCCAAAAACAATACTAAAAACTACAAAAACGATTTTGTGAACACAGCATCTCCTGATTGCATTATTACTGAAATATTTATTTTCTGTTTAAATTGTACATGGTAAACACTGCAACATGGTTAATAGATACAGTAGTTGGTTATGAAGTCTTCTGCATGCACTACCAACGAGAACTGATTTATACAGATTCCTACACCTGAGTGGACAAATACTGCTTCTCTAACCACAGATCAAGGATTAAAGATCTACAGGACCATATGTTCCATACTATCTAAAAGCAGCTGCTTTCATTCGTGTCCAACATATATTGGCCAGGGGATACTAGCCTCTCACACCCTCCACTGCAAGTTCACACTTATTCCATCTGGGAAACGCCTCTGTTTCACCAGGTGTAACATAAATATACACAGGAAATATTTCATCATCACTGCAATATCTCTTTCAATATCTCTTATCTTGCTGTAACATTGTTGCACTGACTTCTTGGTTGGTAAATGTTGTCTGTAATTGTGTTGTTATGTTGCGAGTGTGATGTAAAGCAGTTTTTCCCAAATGGGACAATAAAACTTGAATTGAATAGAGCAGTGAAATGTTTCATGCAGAATTTCCTTGTCTATTTTTTGTTCTTGTACTTTGACTTCCAAGATCCTTCCTGTTTTCTGGCAACACTAAGAAGGGAAATTGTTAATGGTCTAATGTCAATTTAAACCAGAGAGTTGGAAACTGCTGCTTTAAGATGTCAACTCATCTTCTGTAATCCCAGTGCTTGACATTAGCTGTGATTTAAATGGGAAAGAGCTTAGTGACATGAAGCAAACGCAAATCGCTGACCACACTGCTTTAATTAATTGGATATCCTCTCTAATTAAAGATATCGGACTCATGATAAATTTAAAAACAAGCACTAGTACAGTACTTAGGATCTACAAGTTCAGCCTTCATTGTGTCAATATATGTCTATATATAATATATTTCTAATAATAATAACAATAATTCCTTACACTTATATAATGCTTTTCTGGACACTCCACTCACAGCACTTTACAGGTAATGGGGACTCCCTTCCACCACCACCAATGTGCAGGATCCACCTGGATGCCATTGTGCGCCAGAACGCTCACCACACATCAGCTATCAGTGGGGAGGAGACCAGAGCGATGAAGCCAATTCATAGATGGGGATTATTAGGGGCCTAATATTGTTAAGGGCCAATGGGAAATTTGGCCAAGAATGCCAGGGTTACACCCCTACTCTTTTCAAGAAACACCCTGGGATTTTTAATGACCACACAGAGTCAGGACCTTGGTTTTACATCCCATCCGAAGGACGGCGCCTTTTTACAGTATAGTGTCCTCGTCACTATACTAGGGTATTAGGACCCACACAGACCAGAGGATGAGCGCCCCCTGCTGGCCCCACTAACACCTCTTCCAGCAGCAACCTTAGTTTTTCCCAGGAGGTTTCCCATCCAGGTACTCTACTGACAAGGCTCACACTTGCTGAGCTTCAGTAGGCTGCCAGTTGTAAGTTTCAAATTTCAGTTTGATATGCTGGCTTTTAAACCTGGTTAAGGATCACTCTGGTGCTCTGCAGTGATATACTCAAATTTAAAAATAAAATAGCTTAAGAATCCAAAGACAAACATAAAAATCCTATAGTTATCCCCATTGTTAGCAATCTAAAATAATATACAGTATAAGGACCAAAAGAGGATTCCAATAAACAGTGTTTCCTGATCATTTAAGTAAACAACTAAATATGTAGTTGTTGCTTCACAAGAAACAAAAGGGGGTTCAAGCCAAGAGATTACAAAAAAAATATTTAACCTCAGATTACAAATAAAACATTTAGAGATTCTGTGAAAATATAAATTATC